GTGGATTTTATTAAAGAAATGCCTTCCATATTCCAAGCGTATTTCTCTTATGCTTAAACCATTCAACGGGATCACAGGTTCCACAAACAATAGCTGCAGGCTGCAGCATTAATTACTTTATTGCTCTCCCTCTCTCTCTCCCACACTCACGAGTGGCCTAACGGGATCATCAGAGCTGCTGCAGCCAATCGCATTAGCGCTCACAAGCATTGACAATGCTCTCTCTCGCTCTCGCACTCGCTCTGGCTCTGGCTCTGCAGCAGCGCTCAAAGCACAGATTCCACAACTTTACGTTCCACAGCAATTGAATCCACTCTGGGACAGTTCTGTCTGCGCGCAGAATTTATGATGAAATTATAATACACCATGCAGGAGGGGGATAAAAACAAAGCGAAGACAGCTGTGCTCACATTGGCAGCATATTGAACTCAGAGTCGCCCAGCATCTGCTTTGCATGGACGGCTGCCAAACTAAGGCGCTGGGGGATTATCACGAGAGCAGGCCAACGAAGAGGCAAACGAAAACAATAAGGCAAAGCACACACACACACACACTTCAGTAATATAAGAGCCAGCCACACACTCAATTAGCCAACGAGGGGCTGCTGCAGATCGCAGTGCTGCCGATACCTGAGAGCAGAAACCTCTTGTTATTGTAGCTACCTGGTAAACACCTGCGTGCAACTGCGTAAGAGCGCGCGTGGCAGCAGCAACAGCAGCAGCAGCGGCCGTATGTCTCATTAATAAACGAGTCGATAAGCAAGGGCAGCGTGGCAGGTGAAGGGGCTAGCACACACGCACAGGTGTCAGACGCCGCTGCCGCCTTTTCGGCTCTTTCTTGTTTTTGTTGCCAGAGCATTTGTAATATAAGAAGACGCCGAGTCGTGCTGCTGCCGTTTGCTGGCTTTTTGTTTTGCTACGCTCATTCGCCTGCTGCTGCTGACGCTAGCAGCTCGCTCTCTCTCTCGCTCGCCCTTCCTCACAGCTGTGTAGAGTTTTATGGAGAGTATCTACTTGTATCTACGTGCGCACGTTTGCTTTGGCTGCCGGCCAGCCAGACTTCTTTATTGTTGTTGTTATTTCTGTGCTCTTTGCTGTTCTCTTGTCTCTTGTTGTCCTTTGTCAAGCGCCAAAAATAAATGCCACACGATTTACGCTCTTCCTCTTGCCTCGCTTGCTCGGTCTCTCTCACTCTCTCCCGTGCTGTATTTGAACTGTAAGATCTTTGAATATTATTTAGTTTTGCTTTTTGGTTGCCTTCCAGACATTTTAGCTAATTAATGTTTGTTTGTTCTGTTCTCTGACCCACATATATATTCCGCACTGCTTTTAATACACTGCTCAGATACACATATTTTGGTTGAACTTGAAATTCGTATTCCATTCCCTCTATATCTTTGGGTGGTCGTAAATTTCGACCACATGTAGATCCCATCTGTAAATCGTGTACATACAAGGGGACGATCCAATTCGTTTTATCTTTTCATTGAGTAAATTTTGTTTGTTTTGTGTGTAAATAAATTGTTGAAGCTGAACGAAAAATTACTAAACCTAAGATGTAGATATAATAGTAATATATATTTAATATATATGAATATAATATATAAATATATATGTATATATTATATAAATATTAGCAGTACTAATATTCAAACTTATATAGAGCTCTTCAGTCCCTACATTTTTGATCTAACAGTAATCAGTCCCCAGCATAACTCAGCATTTACTTCTACATTACTCTATTAGACATTAGTCAACCTGGAAATATCTATTTAAATTGCAAACAAATACAACATATACAAATGTTCTCGTTAAATTTCGAAAATTTTTATTTTGGCTCAATGTATGAAGACAAATACGTAATATCGTAGATGACTTCAAATTCAGCTAAAAATATATAGAGACAGTACAAAGCGTATATGATATATGAGTATATTCCAATCGAACGACGCGTGAAGAAGTTGTAAATCAAGCCCCAGGCCAGGTACGAAAATACGGCAATCATATAGAAAACGTGTGTTATATATCCATGCATGCCGACCATCCAGTTGGCCGAGCCCTTCACACGAACATGACCATTCAGTAAGAAGATCACACCCATACCCACTGTCAACTCTAAAATGATATGCGGG